TATGAATATTACAAGTAGATGTTGCAATGTAATTAATATACATGTATAATGATGTAATCCCTACTCAGAAATTGTATAAAAGAGCTGCACTAATTGTTAACAACGGAGCTCTTTGCCCAGGGAGACCTGGAGAGCTCCCCAACGCGTTGCTAATAAAATACCTCCTGCTTTGAGCATGAAACTTTGTCTCTAAAGCAGTCTCTCTGTGCTTCTTTGGGGCAAATTCGGCATCACTCTCTCACTCTCTTTTCTCCTCCAGCCTTTCCTGGCAGGAACCAGGACAGTTGTGTGCATACAGAAATGGGATTCAAACACAGAAACGAGAGATATAGCCCAGTTTTAAATTTCAGAGGCTATTTTTAATATCCTCTGAGCAGACAAAAGCCACTGCAGGTATAAGAAGTCTCTCTCTTCTAGTTCTTCTCTCTGGTTAAGCGGTAAGAATGAAAGCCTATAAGGTCTTTATAAAGTTTCTCGGCTCTGCCGTGGACCACCTGCACTGGCAGCAGGGTCTGGGCTGGAAAAGAAATTGCGGGTGACCCTCCCGGGTCAGCACCTTTCCCTGGTGCACTTTGAAATCCTCAATTCCACAGGAACTATGCCCTTTGCTCAGGGCCTTCCTGATGCTTTCAGTCCTGAGGTGAGCAGTGTTGCTCAGAGTTCCCTGTGATCGTGGTTGGTGCCCGTGCTCATCGGCTGAGGAGCTGATTATTTTGTGCCGCCTGGATCAGCCCGAGGTGCTGGGAATGTGAAGGGATGTGGCCGAGCACGTACAGCATTCCCTGGGACACTTCCAAGCACGTGCAGCATTCCCTGGGACACACCCATGGGGAAGAGCTCCAGAAATGCCTCCCAGACGGGCGGCAGGCGCTGGAGCACCAAGGTGGGGGGGGCAAAATTCCACAGGAAATGGGGCATTTGGGAATGGGGGACTTGTTGGGCCGAGTGGAACATGGGATACTGACACTGTCCTGCCGCGCATACGGATTCTGTCCGGGACCACGGGGATGAGCCGCATGAATAAAGAAAATTTCATGCAGAAACAAAATTAGAGAGCCAAAAGCGCAATTTGAAGTCAATTTGGCTACTTCTGTCAGGGGTAACAAAAAGCGCTTCTATAAATACATTAATAACAAAAGGAGGGGCAAGGAAAACCTCCATTCCTTGTTGGACTTGGGGGGGAACAGGGTTAACAGGGGTGAGGAGAAGGCTGAGGTACTTAACACCTACTTTGCCTCAGTATTCACCAGTAGGACAGGTGGCCCTCAGGACAACTGGCCTCTGGAACTGGTAGACAGGGACAGGAAACCAAATACCCCCTGTATTCCAGGAGGAAATAGTCAGTGACTTACTGAGCCACCTGGATCCACACAAGTCCATAGGACCAGATGGGATCCATCCTAGGGTGATGAGGGAGCTGGCAGAAGAGCTCGCCAAGCCGCTCTCCATCATTTACCAACAGTCCTGGCTCACTGGGGAGGGCCCAGGCGATTGGAAGTTGGCGAATGTCACGCCAATCTACAAAAAGGGCTGCAAGGAGGACCCAGGAAACTCCAGGCCTGTCAGCCTGACCTCAGTGCCTGGCAAGGTTATGGAGCAGATCATCCTGAGTGCAATCACACAGCACCTACAGGATGGACAAGGGATCAGAGCCAGCCAGCACGGGGTTAGGAAGGGTAAGTCCTATCTGACCAACTTGATCTCCTTTTATGATCAGGTGACCCACCTGGTGGATGAGTGGAAGGCTGTGGATGTGTCTATCTGGACTGCAGCAAAACCTTTCACACCGTCTCCCATAATATACTCCTGGCTCCCCAAAGCCTTTGAACCTCAGGGACTGAGAGCAGATTGCACAAACCTTCCTGTGGGTCAAAGAGAAACTCCAGGTATCTCAGAGCATTAGTGGGTGCAGCTGAGGGCCATTCCCAAAACAGGCTTCTCATGGACCCCCTTGGAGGAGATAATTGGAGGCCACGATGGCACAAACCTCTCAAAGACTTGGTATCAAAAGCAAAACCCAAAGTCCCCCAAAAAATGAACTCCTTGAAAGAATTAATGAGCCCCAGTGAGTGTCACTACTGACACAGGCTCTCAAGGGACTGGTTAAAGCAGATAATTGCAGAGGATTGCACAAACCTCTTGGAGATTCAGTGTGGAAAGGAAAATGAAAAGTACTTTGAAAAACCTGCAGGCCCTTGAAGCATTAACAAGCCCCACTGAGTCTCCTCATTGACAAAGGCTCTCATGGGACTAATTAAAGCAGATCTTTGGAGGCCATGATTGCACAAACCTCTAAAAGACTGTCAAAAATAAGTGCCTGAACAAACCCTGAGTATCTTGGAGCATTAATGAGCCCCACTGAGTGTTGTTACTGTAATAAACACCGCTATAATTCACCTCAGTAAAAGAAACAAATGAATTACTAGAGCCTCATAAAAGAATAAAACAAACGGATAGTAAAAGTTAATTACACCCCCATAAAGAGATAAGGCAGACCATTTGTAAGGTCATCAAGGTCATAAGCCATAAATCATCTCTGCTTTCCTAAAATGAATTATAGTAGGATTCTGATCTTCTAGGAGCCTTGTTGTGTGAGAATGTATGAATTATAGGGAAACTGTCACTGTTGTAGAGATAACAACCTAGCTTTAGTTGTGAAAACCATCATCATGGCTGGGCTTCAAGAACAAAGATTTGAGAAGGGCTCTACCCACGCTTGCTACAAGCACACTGATGGCTAAAAAGGCCAATGGGAGATAGAAAAGTCTGGTTGCTGAAGGCACAGCAGAAAGACTCCCTTGGTGAGATCGACAAGATGCGATTCTTTCTTTTCTCCTCGAGAGTGATCCTGCGTGTGTTCTCAAAAGCAGCAGCAGCGTTATAGATGGTGTGTCTCCAGGCCTCCTGATTGGAGGCCAGAGTAGACCAATGGTGATGATCGATATGGCCAAGGCTGAGGGATCGTTTCAGGCAGTCCTTGTATCTCCTCTTCGGGGCTCCTCTCCTGTGGCAGCCAGTGGCAAGTTCCCCATAGAGCACAATCTTAGGGAGGCGGCAGTCCTGCATCCTGGAGACGTGCCCTGCCCAGCACAGCTGTGTTCTCAGCAGCATGACCTCAATGCTTGTGACTGCTGCCTGTTCAAGGACAGATGTGTTGGTCACATAATCCGTCCAGTGGATGTTTAGGATTGTAAGGAGGCAGCGCTGAAGAAAGACTTCCTGAGGTGCAGGCAGATAGAAAACTTCTGTCTTCTTCAAACTGACTTCCAGCCCAAAAAGCTCAGCAGCCTCTGCAAAGCAGGATGTTAAACACTGCAGAGCTACTTCTGTGTGGGCAACGAGGGCGGCATCATCAGCATAAAGCAGCTCACGGATAAGATAATTTAAGGTCTTAGTGTGGGCCTTCAGTCGTCTTAGGTTGAAAAGGCTCCCATCCGTACGATATCGAATGTAGACACCGTTTTCATCATCGAGGTCTGCCGTGGCCCTTTGGAGCATCTTGCTGAAGAAGATTGTGAATAAAGTTGGTGCAAGAACGCAGCCTTGCTTCACACCATTGGCTATTGGAAACGGCTCAGAAAGTGCGTCACCATATCTCACTTGGCCGCGCTGGTCCTCATGAAGTGAGATGATCATTTTGAGGAACTTGGGAGGACATCCTAAATGGTCCAAAATCTGCCACAGACCTTTTCTGCTCACAGTGTCGAAAGCCTTAGTGAGATCAACAAAGGTAACATAGAGTCCTTTGTTCTGTTCCCTACACTTCTCTTGCAGTTGTCTGAGAACAAATACCATGTCTGTGGTACCTCTGTTGGCTCAGAAACCACACTGGTTTTCAGGTAGAAGATCTTCTGCTATGGCGGGTATTAATCTGTTCAACAGGATTCTTGCAAGGATTTTACCAGCAATGGAGAGCACAGTAATACCTCGGTAATTTGAGCAGTCTGATTTATCTCCTTTCCTTTTGTACAAGGTGACGATGACAGCGTCACGAAGGTCTGAAGGTAGTTCACCTCGTTCCCAACAGCGCACCACAAATTCATGAAACTTAGCACAGAGTGCCTGGCCACCGTACTTCCAGATTTCAGGTGGGATCCCGTCAACCCCAGCTGCCTTGCCAATTTTCACCTGCTGTATTGCTTTAAGAGTTTCTCCCATGGTGGGGTAGTATCCAGTTCAGTTTTCACGGGTTGTTGTGAAATGAACTGCATTGCTGGGTCTTAAACTACACGGTTAGTACTGAGAGAGTCTGAAAGTGTTCAGACCATCGATTCAAGATGGAAACTTTATCTGTGAGAAGCATTTGGCCATCTGCTTTGAACCTGGTGTGTAGGACCATAGGCTGTTTTCAGAGCCTCATAGAATCTCCTGTAGTCACCTGTACCTGCGCATAATTGGATTTTTTCTGCTAGATTGGTCCACCACTTGTTCTGGATGTCACGAAGTTTCTGTTGCAGCTTGCTGCATGCGAGTCGAAAGGCCGCTTTTCTTATATGACAAGATGGCTGAGCAAGGTGGGCTTGGTGAGCAGTTCTCTTCTTACTCAACAATTCCTGGATCTCATGATTGTTTTCATCAAACCAGTCCTTGTTTTTCTTGAAGGAGAACCCTATGGATTCTTCAGAGGACTGCAGAATGCTACTTTTAATAAGTGGCCAAAGCGCTTCGGGAGAAGAGTCTGTGGAATGAACTTCAAGCCTGGATTGAAGATTTGCCTGGAAGCTGTTCCTCACTGTAGCTGATTGAAGACTGTTAACTTGAAGTCTCCTTCTAGGAATGCCACCGTTTTTAGGTTTGAACTTAAGGTGGAGGTTAAGTTTACAGCGCACGAGGCGATGATCCGTTTGACATTCTGCACTAGGCATCACGCGGGTGTGATGAACACCGCAGAAAAAATATAATCTACTAATATCTGTCTATCTATCTCTCTGTCCATCTATCTGTCTCTCTATCTACCTATCTGTCTATCTATCTATCTATCTATCTATCTGTCTTATAATCTGTCTAATCTATCTGTGCCCTACTATCTATTGGCAAAAATCGATGAAACTGTGACCCAGCTCAAGCCCTAAGGTGTGTTTAGGGCAATCCCAGGCTGGTGACAGGAATCACTGGGTGAGCCCAGGCTGGCAGTGTGTGCTTGGGGCAGCCAAATGCCCGAGGTGCTGTCCCTGCAGCCGTGGCTGCGGTGCCTCCCTGTGCCACGCTCTCAGCCGGACGCTGCCGAGGCTCACACGGTCACCTGCAGGCAGCTGCCTGGTGCTGGCAGCCTGGCACTGCTGCTCCTGCCCTCGTGGGACACAGGTGCCAAGGAACAGCCCGGCACAGCCCTGAGCACCCTCCCGAACAGGGAGTGTCGTTGCCGTCGCTCCAGGCCGCAACTGGCGTGGCAGAAGGAGATCCGTGGCCAAGGGGCTGAGCGGGCAGCAGGAAAGCTCCTGCCTGCCCCACTGGCACCAAGGGCTCCTGCCAGGGAAGAGCAGGCAGTGCACAGGCAGTGGTTGTGGTTGTGGCGGTGCCGGCCTGGCCTGGGTGCTGCTCCCTGGGACGGCTGGGCCAGGCCTGCCACCACTGGGGCAGCGCTGGACTTTGGGACGTGGCTGGCTCCTCCTCGGTGTCTCACAGATGTCTGATGGCATTTGGCACTCATGGTGACATCAGCCATTTGAAACAGGTCACACAGACCGGACATGTAAATTTAGTGTTGAACTTAGGTGGGAAGTTCCTGCCTCACAGTACTCTTTACCACAGTTGCTCTGTAAAAGAATGGAGTTACACAGCTCAGTGCTTCCATTTCAACATTTTCTGTCCTTTCCCACACTGGAAAATTTGTACCAACCTGCTGACCAAAAGTCGTCAGCTTTACCAGATGTGGCTGGGGTGTGTTCTGAGGCTGGGAGTTCTGCCCAGTCCCAGACGGTTCCCAAGGTGTCCCAGGCCAGCTGAATCCAGTGGTGGAACTGCAGCCAGACGTCTGCTGACATCGCTGATTGTGGCTGCAGATTTGCTTCTCTGGCGCTCCCAAAGGAGCTTCGCGTTGGCCTCTTCAAGTCTCTCATTGGCTCTGAAACATTCAGAGGCACACAAAGAGTCACCTTGGGCAGCAACGCTTTGGCAAAGTTCCCCTCTATGTCCTTGACTATTCCTCGACTTCTAAATGCCAAGGGGATGAAGAGAGTCCAAAACAAGCACATCCTTTGATCTGAGCTTGTGCAGAGGGCCTTTTTCCAAGAAATCGCACCAAGTGCAAGGAGCAGCAAGTGTCACCTCCATAAGAACTCTGGGCTACCCTGCTGGCCTTCAAAGGAAAGCTCAAACCTCAGAGCCACTGCTAAAACAGAAAGATCATTCTTATTTTTGATTCACAGAATCCAACTCTGCTCTCTGAGAGGCCTCTCCTTATTCAAACAGGAAAGGCCACAAGATTGATCTTTTCTGTCACACACAGGAGGAGGAGGAGATTAGAGATTGGCAAAAAGACTGCCTGTTAAATCAACATCAGCTGGAAAAAGACACCACTCATGCTGTAATGGTGCTACTGTGGTGTTACTGCTGGAACTCTATGGAGAAAGGAAGACAGGTCTGGTGAAGGGAAGGGTCTTGAGGTGCTTTCCCCACAAATATGCCATGTTATGCTTTCACACATTGTGCTGGCCAGATGTAGAAAAGGGATTTTAGAAGGAAAATGCACAAGGAAAAAGGAGTCTGTGATTACCACTCCAAAAAAACCATGAACTTACCTTTCCAGTTTCTTTGCGAGGCTTTTGCTGGTTTTCACTTCCTGCAGGTACAGCTCTATGTACTTGTCCACTTCTGGCTGTCTGGATTCTTGTTGAAAAGGTCTTTCTTGTTGGTTGCTTTTTATCCTTCCCAGTGCACGTTCAAGATCTCTAGTTCTGTCTTCTAACTGGTTTTTCAGTGAGTCAAAATGACTGCTTCTGATTTTTTCTAATGTGTCCTGGTAGGCTGCCTGTTCCTGAATGAGACAGTGTACCTTCAACCACCACAAGAAAAACAGAGCTCTCCCCAGCAGAAAAATTGCACATACCGAGTTTCAAGGGCCCAGCTTTGCTCAGAGAGGTGGCTGTGCCTCCTCACAAGCAGCAGCAATCAAGGCAGAACCCAGGAGCTACCAGGGTAAATAATTCTTCTCATTCAGAAAGAGGCCAAATCAGCACTCTTAGTCAAAGCTACCAATGAAAAGACACTGTATCTGCAGGACAGGGCATATCGAGAAGGATGCTTCAAAGACAATCAGAGCATCCCCACCTGCACCCCCTCACCCCACCCCTGTCATTTCAGGGACTCCTTTTCTGAGCACTTTCCCCCCTCCAAGGACAAAGCAGCACCCCAATGTCTGGCCATGACAGCTGCAAGTTGCCAAACCCATTGGAGGATGAGCAGCCAGAACCAGAGCAGGGGACAGAGATCCCCCCAGGCACTGCCAACTGGGAATGTGCCTTGGGAAGCTTTGGATTCAGGGACCTGCCGGCACATCACACACCCAGCACTGCTGCCCAACCATCTGCCCTTCTCCCACTGCCTCCAGCACAGACAGAAGTACAGCACTAACACACAGAATGCAGGAGGGAAAGGAAAATACCAGGAAATCGTGGCCGCAACAGAAGTTTACGTAGTGCCCGTGGACACTGGTGAGAAATTCACTTACTTGCAAAAACTGATTGACTTCTTGTAGCTTTTGTGTTATTTCCTTGCTTGCTCGTTCTTCCGCCTCTCTTTTACATTGTTCTAGCTGGGAGCGATCCACCATGTTAGTGTGTAAATGATGCTGGAGTTTTGACAGCTCTTCTTGCAGCTGGCATTTGTCCACCTCCAGTTGTTCACACTTCCTATGCAGAGTGGACAGCTCTTCTTGCAAATCCTGATTTTGGGCTTCCAGCTGCATGCATTTTTTAGATTCCCTGTCCAGCTGCTGGGAAAGTTCAGCAACCTGCAGACAGAAAGAAAGAAAAAAGGAACTCAGCGTGACCTAAAGGCAGTGAACTCTGTGAAAACCCCAAAAGAGGTGGCCAGGGAGAATATATTCATCATCTGCTGACTCAGTACTAGAAAAAAGGTGCAACCAGGCTCTTCTTTTCCAGCAAGAACAGCTTTCCTATCATTTGTGATAGCATTGCTCAGGTTCCCATCCTTCCTGAGTTCCTCAGGCAAAAATGCTCCAAGCTTCTGGACTCCCAAGGAATGGCTGCAAAGGCAGGAAGCGATTCCACAGCGCTGCCTTCCAACCCCAGCGTCCCTCTGACACAGCCGCTCCAGCAACGAGTCCCAGGAACGAGCGGAGAGGAGACCAAAGGTTACCCGGCCCTGCTGAACAGGCAGAGCAGCCTCAAAAACACTGCTGGGAACAGCCCTGCTGGGTCCCTGCCACCAGATGGGCTGAAACAGCTCCCCGGGAGCAATAAGGGACAGGTTTTCCCTGGGAGGCACCTCTGCTCAGTGTGCCCCCGGCAGCAACAGCTCTGCTGAGAAAAGCAAAACCTCCAGTGCCTCCTGCTCAGCTCGTGCCTGGCACAGGGCCCAGGGGCTGATCGTGCCCTGCGAGTGACAGCGCTGTTCCTGCCCTCTCTTCCAGGGAAGGAATTCATCTGTCAGTCCCAGGTGACGCTGGCACAGCCTCCCTCAAGCTGCAGCCAGGCTGAGCTGGGCCCCACTGCTCTCAGCCCAGGGCCGTGATGTCCTGCCAGGCCGGCAGAGCTGCCCCTCCCTAAGGCCCAGCCGGGGGATCTGCACTCTTGGCTGGCCCCGCTTGCTGTCAGTGGGCCTGTTCTGCTCTTCTGGCTCAGGGGCTGTGGGACGGCTCCCTGGCCCGGGAGGTCACGCACCCTGCCAGGCTGGCTGCCACTCTGGGCTTGCCCTTCCTCTGCAGGACAGCCTGGCCTTCCTGAGCCCTTGCACCTCCTGCTTTGCACTGAACATTTGCATCTTTACCCACAGTGATAACTACCCCAGGATTAGTTATAGTCATCTACTACTGTAACAGCAGAAGGAGCATTAAGAAAAGCCCATCAAATGCAAAATGCAGCCAAGGAAAATAAAAATCATCAACATGACAAGAAATATAGGAAAGCATCTCCCAGGCTTCAAAAGAAGTAACACCACAACCAAAAACCCCACCCAAAAAGCGCAGCTCACCTCTTTTCATAATCTATCAACTTCCTTGACCTTTTCAGAATATTTGTTCTTTATTTCTTCCTGCTGGGACTGGGTTTCTTTCTGTTCATTATCCCTGGGTTTCCTCCTATCTATCTTCAGAAGCTGTTCCAGCCTGCACAAGAAATGATTTAAAAAAACAATGAAACACAGGAAGAACCAGCCTTTTCCCCACAGTCTCCCATAAACAGCACAGACATTGTAGAAGCATAGAATGGCTTGGGTTGGAAGGAACCTGAAAGATCATCTCTTTCCAACCCTCCTGCTGTGGGCAGGGACACCTTCCACAAGACCAGGTTCCTCAGAGCCCCATCCAGCCTGGCCTTGAACACTTCCAGGGATGGGGCAGCCACAGCTTCCCTGGGCAACCTGTTCCAGTTCCTCCCCATCCTCACAGGAACCAATTTCTTCCTGGTATCAAATCTAAACCTCCTCTCTTTCCCTTTGAAACCATTCCCCTTTGTCCTCTCACTGCATGCTCTTTGAAATGGACTCTTTTCACCCTTCTTGTAGGCTCCCTTCACGTACTGCAAGGCCACAATTAGGTTGCCCCAAAGCCTCCTCTTTTCCAGGCTGAAGTATTCCAGTTCTCCCAGCCTTTCCTCCCAGGAGAGGTGCTCCACCTTTCTAAACACCTTGGTGGCCTCCTCTGGACTCCCTGCAACAGGTGGAGGTCCCTGCTGTGCTGAGGAGCCCAGAGCTGGATGCAGCACTCCAGGTGGGGTCTGCCAAGGGCAGAGCAGAGAGGCAGAATGCCCTCCCTGCCCTGCTGGCCACGCTGCCTTTGCTGCAGCCCAGGGGACAATCGGCTTTGTGGGCTGCGAGCGCACATTGCCGGGTCCTGTCCAGCCCCTCATCCAGCCCAGGTGCTGCTGGGCAGGGCTGCTCTCCCTCTGTCCATCCCCCAGCCTGCATCCATACAGGGGCTGCCCTGAGCCACGGGCAGCATCTTGCACTGGCTCTTGTTAAACCTCCTGAGATTGCCATGGGCCCACTTCTCCAGCTTGTCCAGGCCCCTCTGGATGGCATCAGGTGTGTCAACCACACCCCTCAGCTGGGTGTCAGCTGCAAATTTGCTGAGGGTGCCCTCCATCCCTTTGTCTGTGTCCTTAGTGAAGATAGGAAATAACACTGGTCCCAACACAGACCCCGCTCTGATGGCACTGCTGTCCCTCAGGACTCTGAGCCATTGATCACCACCTCTGGATGGGACTGCTCACCCAGTTTCTTAATCCATCAACAATGCACGCATGGAATCTGCCTCTCTCCAGCTTAGAGAGAAGGATGTTGTGGGGGACTGTGCCAAAGGCTTTCCAGAATTACAGGGAAAGGACATCTGGAGCCCTTGGCCACTGATGCAGTCACTCCATCTTAGAAGGCCACGAGGTTGGTCAAGCAGGACTTGCTCTTGGTGAAGCTGGGCTGGTGTCTCAAATCACCTCCCTGTCATCCCTGTGCCTTGACAGAGCTTCTAGAAGGATCTTTTCCATGACCTTCCCAGGCACACAGGGCAGCCTGACAGCTTGGCAGTTACCAGGGCCCTCCTTTCTACCCCTTTTAAAGATGGGTACAGTGTGTTTCCCTTTTTCCCATCACCTGGGACTTCACCTGACTGTCATGACTTTTCAAGTATCAAGGAGAGTGTCTTGGCAACTACATCAGACCCTGTTGGCCTATGTAGGGTAATAATGCTGGTGAGAAGTAGAAGATGGATTTCAGAAGGAAAATGCATGAAGAAAAAGGAGTCTCTTATTAACACTCCAAAAAAAGGGTGGACTTACCTTTGCAGTTTCTTTGTGAGGCATCTTCTGGTTCTCAGTTCCTCCAGGTACAGTCCTTTGTACATTTCCATTTCTCCCTGCGTTGCCTCTTTACAACAGGCACTCTCTTGTTGGGCTTTTTTAACCCTGTCCAATTCCCTTTCGAGATCTCTAATTCTTTCTTCCAGCTGGAGTCTCGTTGAATCACAATTCCTGTCTCCAATTTGTCCTAAGTGGTGCTGGTAGGCTGCCTGTGCCTGAAGGAGACAGTGCACCTTCAACCACCACAAGAAAAACAGAGCTCTCCCCAGCAGAAAATTGCATGCACCCAATTTCAGGGCTTTGCTCAGAGAGGCGGCTGTGCCTCCTCACAAGCAGCAGCAATCAAGGCAGAACCCAGGAGCTACCAGGGTAAATAATTCTTCTCATTCAGAAAGAGGCCAAATCAGCACTCTTAGTCAAAGCTACCAATGAAAAGACACTGTATCTGCAGGACAGGGCATATTGAAAAGGATGCTTCAAAGACAATCAGAGCATCCCCACCTGCACCCACCTCACCCCACCCCTGTCATTTCAGGGACTCCTTTTCTGAGCACTTTCCCCCCTACAAGGACAAAGCAGCACCCCAATGTCTGGCCATGACAGCTGCAAGTTGCCAAACCCATTGGAGGATGAGCAGCCAGAACCAGAGCAGGGGACAGAGATCCCCCCAGGCACTGCCAACTGGGAATGTGCCTTGGGCAGGCTTTGGATTCAGGGACCTGCCAGCACATCACACACCCAGCACTGCTGCCCAACCAACTTCCCTTCTCCCACTGCCTCCAGCACAGACAGAAGTACAGCACTAACACACAGAATGCAGGAGGGAAAGGAAAATACCAGAAATCGTGGCCACAACAGAAGTTTACGTAGTGCCTGTGGACACTGGTGAGAAATTCACTTACTTGCAAAAACTGACTGATTTCTTGCAGCTTTTGTCTTATTTCCTTGTCTGCTCGTTCTTCCACATCTCTTTCACATTGTTTTGTTTGGCTGCCATCCAGCGTGAAATTCTCCCAATGATGGTGGAGTTTTTTCACCTCTTCATGCAGCTGCCATTTGTCCACCTCCAGTTGTTCATACATCCCATGCAGAGTGGACAGCTCTTCTTGCAAATCCTCATTTTGGGCTTCCAGCTCCATGCCTGTTCTAGGCTCCATGTCCACCTGCTGGGAAGGTTCACCAACCTGTACACAGAAAAGGAAAAAAAAAAAAGAAAAGGAAACTCAGCATGATCTAAAGGCAGTGAATTCTGGGAAAACCTCTAAAGGAGTGGCCAGTGAAACTGTATTTATCATCTCTTGGAAACGAGCATGGAAAACACTGTAAAGATGCCCCAACAGAAAGTAGACACTTTAGACCTACTTAAGAATTTGTGAGATGCTTCTGGGACCAATACTTCTGGGTCCCTTGGAGCTCATAATGACATTCATAATTTATAATCTCTATTCCTCTAGTGTCCACCACAGAAAATACCCTCAGGGCTTTTGTAGCAGCTGGAGAAAGGACCAGGCTGCTTTCTGAGTAGCCTCTACTGAGGAGAATGCAGAAACTGAGCTCCCCTTGGCTCTCCAGGAAAACTTCATCTTGCAGTTTCTCCACAGAAATGGGCAGCTCTGCTCAAGAGTCACAAACAGGAAAATTTATGCGCAGCTTACTGAGGCAGAGGCTTGCAGGTCTCTCTGAGGGGCTTCAACGCTCTCACTCAGCTGTTGGACAGTGGTTTCCAGTCTGGTGTTTTCACTTTGAGAGCTTCAGAAGAAATACAGGTCTTATTACCAGAAAATCCAATGCAAGACAAACTGTGTTAAGTAACAGAATCCAAAGCAGAAGTGTCCTTCAAAATCAGACTGACTCTCCTGTTGTTTCCACCCAGTCCCCCAAAGCTACAGACCCCTCACTGTGTTCCTCTCTTACTGTTGCTTGTGTTCTTCCACTTGTTTTGGAGCAGTATCAGTCTTGGAAGATGCCAATAGGAGGTCCTGCATTTTCTGGGTAGAAGCAATTGCTTCTCTTTCCTTATCACCCAAGGCAGTCTTCAAGTCACCAACACAACACTCAGACTGAAGATGCTTTTCCTCCTCCTCCTGCAACTGTAAAATCACGGTAAGAACCCACAGTTGTCAGGTGAACTTTGCCATAGAGGAGCCAGCTGCTGCCAAAGGCCTGCTGTGCTGCATGTGTGTGTGCACACCCTCTGCCCAGAGAACTGCAATCCATTCAAGTGCCTTCAGAGCTTCACTTCTGCTCCCAAATGAACACCAGCTGTATTCCTTTGTCCTCTTTAACCAGCAGCCTCTCCCATCCCTCCACTGATTTCCTACAGCACGGTTCTAAGCACCCACACTGCCCCTCCGACCTTTTTTGTGACCTGTGACACTCTTTGTATTGCCTTGCTTGCTACTCCATGAAAAGGTGCATGGAATAGTTCATCTTCCTAAAGGAAGGCGTCTGGCAAGGGTCAGAGGCGAACTGCTCGGGCAC